GGAAAATAAAGGGTGGTGGTTACCAACGGCTGGGAAGTGAATGGTTGAGGGGTATAGAATTTCAGTGTTGCAAAATAAAAAAGTTCTAGGGGTCTGTTGCACAACAATGTGAATATGCTTAACGCCACTGAACCGTACACTTAAAATGGTTAAGACGGTAAATTCAACGTTATGTGTTTTGTACCATAATAATTAAATATATATATATATATTGCCGAAACCAGTTTGGCTCAGTAGATAGAGTGTCGGCCTGCAGACTGAAGGGTCCTGGGTTCAATTCTGGTCAAGGGCATGTACCTTGGTTGCGGGGCACATCCCCAGTAGGGGCCGTGCAGGAGGCAGCTAGCTGATGGATGTTTCTAACTCTCTACCCCTCTCCCTTCCTCTCTGTAAAAAATATTTTTTTAAAAATAAAATTATTGCTGCAAATGGTGCATCAGTACAAGTCCATCAAGCCGTTCTCCCCTCCGCCCTACTCCTACTCCTTCCTCTCCTCACATCTAACAATATATCCACTGGGCCCTCTCCTCACATCTAACAATATATCCAATGTTCCCCCCTACACACCATCTTCCTTGCCCTCCATGCCCTCATACCAGCTGGCTTGTGATTAAAATGGACCAAGCGAGGAAGTGCCAGAGAGAGTGCGACCTATTGTATCGAATTTCCTCAGCCTTTTATAGGGCTGTGAACCAGGAGGCCTGCGTGACTCTCAACTTGGCCCAGTCAGCAATCGGCCCGAAGCAAACCATTCAGAACCTCTGGACCTCCTTCTCTATAAAACCAGGGCGTTGGCCCAGGTGATCTCTAAGGCCTTTCAGCTCTGAAAGTTCCCTGATTCAACTGACAGGACACTGGGGGAAACAGAGCCTGCTGTGCTGAGCCTTCTAAGGTCATCCCCAAGTCCCTGAGCTGTGTCTTTGACTCGAGTCCTTTTATGTTGGTCTCTCCGTTTAGATACAAAAATAGAATTAAACTTTTTATTTTTTATCAAAATAATAAAACGTTATGATGACACCAAAATTCCATTGGTGATTCTTTTTGAACAGACACACCCAGGGAGTGCTGTCGGGGGACCTATTTAAATATTTCATGCAAACTAGGAGGGGAAGGTGTTAAGTCACCCCGAGGTGCCCAGGGACAGGCAGAGGGAAGGGCAATGACCTCGTCCCAGCAAACATTACTGAGAAACGTTTCTGTGCCGCGTGCCAAGGTAGGTACTGGGACACAGAGTTAATCGCAACTCAACTCAAGGAGCTCAGCGTCCAGCAGGGGAAACCCAGAGAGTCTCCCGTTAGCAGCAAAATCAAAAGAGATTTCCTCAGCTAAGAAAGCCAACCCGTACAGAGGGCAGGGAAGGAGGGGGAGGAGGAACCAGAGAAACTGTATGATTAGGTTTTGTTTTCTGGATCGCCCTCCCCGACTGAAGAGCCGTGCCAAGCCTCCTGGAGGACTGTGCCTACTGGGCCATAACCACTTTCCGCTGCCACTTGGCTGAACTGAAAACCGAACAGGTGACTTGAAGGTGAAGGCTGACGATGGAAAAGACAGCCTCTTCCTTCCTCCTGTGACCGGCACAGTCCGCCACTCAATCCTTGGGGGGAAGAGGGAGGAAGAGGAGGAAAAATCATTCCCCTTTTTATGTAGTTAGTTGTCACTGTCCTTACGTGGTCAGAAATTTAAGCATTTCCCTTCTCTTGAAGAAAGTGCCACTACAGCCAAAGCCGGTTTGGCTCAGTGGATAGAGTGTCAGCCTGTGGACTGAAAGGTCCCAGGTTCGATTCCGGTCAGGGGCATGTACCTTGGTTGTGGGCACATCTCCAGTGGGGGGTGTGCAGGAGGCAGCCGATCGATGTTTCTCTCTCATCGATGTTTCTAGCTCTCTATCCCTCTTCCTTCCTCTCTGTGAAAAATCAATAAAATATATTTTTAAAAAAAAAAAAAAAGTGCAACTACACATGCAGGCAGCCCAATGCAGAGAAAGAGTGGGGCTCGGTGATGGTTTAAGTGACCTTGAACTGGCCAACCTGTCTTCTGCTATAAAACCCGGGTCTGATGCTAACTCCCTGAGGTGACGAGAGCATGCTGAGAAAGCACAAAAGGAACATACACGCCGATATGAGGCATTTGTTGGCAACCAGCACCACGTAAAGCGGTGCTAACAAAAGGGGTCACTGACTGACTCAGAAACTTTCACCTTGGAAATTCCACCTCAGTGGCACACTTCTCTTTTCTATTAAGGCAAGTAAACAAAGTCCTTCCCTCTGTGTCCGCCGCTGGGCAGGCTGCTCTGTGCTCCATCACCCCAGCTGCCAGGGACTGCCTGCCTACCTGCTGACCAGCTGCTTGGAAGGCACCAGAGCAAGTGAGGCGAGATTCGGCGGGGAGGGGCGAGGGAGATCTCTCCACCAACACAGGCCTTCCGTGTCACATGTCTCCATCCTTGAAAAGCTTCTGACATCCACTCTCCCTTCCACAGAAAAGTTTTTGTGTGCCGGACTCTAGAAGCCGTCCCAGTGCTTGCTTGCGGGTTCCCAGCAAACATCTTATTATATGCACTGTTGTACCACATCCCGAGGGCTAAACGAAACACCGCGCACATCGCCAGAAGGTTTTCAGATGACCTGGAATAATCCCGCTCCCTTCATCTCCAGCGCTTGTTATGGGAACATTGTGAATTAAACAAACTCCTCGGAAAAATACACTTCGAGGACATGCCCCGAAACGGACACGCGGTCCAAGAAGTCAGTGAGTCTGTATGCTCGTCCCATAAAGAGCAATCCAAAAGAAAAGAGGCACACTTCTGTTACTAGCGAAGAACGTTACATTTGTTTTAATCCCGCAGAAATACAGTCACGAAAAGAGGCACCTAAAGAGAACTCAGAGGGTAAGCAATGAGGAAAAGAAATGATATGCAAACGACAGACGCAGTTTTTATGTCCCATTTAAGAACGTGTTGTGTCTGGATTTGTGATCGGTTCCGTACGCGTGGGTATGGGATGGGTCTTCTGCACTCTTTTCCCACGAAAACACAGTGAAATGGCCACTTGGTCGGACTCTTACAGGCAGCACACAAACATGAGCCCTTCGGACTAGTGAGGATAATAGTCTCTTTAGAAGTATCAAGAAAAGTCATAGAATTTTTTTTTTCCTGTTTCGCCCTAAAACTACTGCCCATTGTTGGCACAGGTTTTCCCGATGTCAGATTTACTGGCGCTCTAAATACAATTTACGGGATTTAATATCCTATTATTTAGCTGCCTGTGTTTGTATTATGAAGTGCCAAATAAATTAGATTATCCGCCAGCCAGGTAGGATTTTCCTGAACGTGAGGAGGAGTCTAATGTACAGAGCAAAAGAAACTGGTTTCAAAGTATCAAAGTTACCCTAACTTCTTCATTCTCACAGGCCCCTCCATCACAGAAGCACTGCCACCCCCAGATGTGTACAAACACAGAAGCCTGAAAGTCCCACTGGGCAATTTTGTGAGGCAAACACACACACACACACACACACACACACACACAAAGAAACCCAAGCTACCTTTTCAGTTCACACGAGCCCTACTTCAAATCCATGAGAATCTTTCCTGGTAAGAAACACCAAAATCTGAATATCAGTAGGAAAATCTAATAAGCCAATATGATAAAACACCGTGCTTCCTCTAAACTGATTCTCATGGAAAAGCAGTGTTCAGACACGAAAGGTTCTTCTAATTCCCCTCAGATAAAGAAGGCAGGTTATTGGTTCGTTGTTTCTACAGTGTCCACTCAATGGGCACACACTCAATGGGCCAGTGCAAAAACCAAGCAAACTTCAGCGGGTTCAGGATCTCCCAGAAGCAGGCGGCTTTCCCCCCGGGTGCTGATGGAACCCTGAAATAAATAAAGTGCACAAGAAAGGCAGCCACGGGGGGAAAGAACTGATTGGAGACGGGTAAAATCGTTCTGACTTTCCGGGGTGGCAAACTTTCCAACAACTTCTGAGAAGCAACAAAACACGGCACCGCCAAGCCTAGATAGATCCGTAGATGGACAGATACACACACACACACACACACACACACACACACACACACACAAACTACCTGTAAGTGTTTGCAGACATCCACTATCCTGCATGCACAATCCTGCAAAAAACATGGCCAGAAAGCCCGGAGGTTTCTCTTCTTCCATTCCCTCTCCGCACTGTCACACGGGGAAGGTCATTCTGCTTCATTTAAGAGAATTCCCTCTCTCCCTGCATCTCAGGAGTTTTCTACTTGGGGATTGCTCAACTTTCCTATGCATCTGAGCAAAAGAACATTCAGCAACTTTTATTCACCTTGGTTTAAGAAAGAAAGAAAAGAAAAGAAAAACATTCATTGTGCAATGCCCAGGAAAAGCTGACACCAGGGCTGTCTCTCTCCGACAAGCGCTAGCAATTACCATGGGGGGGGGGGGGGGGCGGGGGGCGGGTAAATCCTGCCTAAAGAGACCACCCTAGGGAACAAAAGTTCCATTTCAGTCACATGTTGGGAGTAGGAGTAAGGGAGCAGGTTTTAGTTTGTTGGGTTTTTTTTTTTCTTTCTTTTTTTTCCTTTTTTTAAGCGCACTAATGACGGGGGTGTTTTACAGTTCGCGACCACTCGGGCTCCTCCTGGCCAAGGGGGACGGGCATCTCATTGTCAAAAAGAAAGAGGCTGGGATGGGGGCGATGGAACCTACAGGGGGGCTCGGCAGGGGATGGGGGGAGGGGGGGGAAGAAGGGGGGACAGTAGCAAGGTTACCCTAAAGGGTACAACAGCCGCCGCGAGCTGCATGCAGCTCCTTCCCAAGGCGCCCCCCCAAACACACACACACCCACACCCACACACACACACACACACAATTGCTTGCGACCACAGCGACTGCAACCAGCCCCCCTGGGAAGCGCCCAGCACCCCTGCCCGGGCCGGCCGGTGGGTGCAGCGCCAAGGGGTTTGGGGTCCCGGAGGAAGGAGGGAGGGAGAAGATCGTTACCTTAATGCTACACTGAGCAGGAGTCTCAGACATGTCTCACAGCGAAGCGAGAGATCAGGAAGTTCTCAGTTTTTTTCCACTTTCCTTTCCTCTCTTCCCCTAAACCCAGAAACGCTCCGCGGCCGGCCAGCCGGACGGACGCCGGGCATTTAAGAAGTTTCTTCCAGCATCTCTCCCGGCGGCCGGCCCCCGGGGGTCCTGCGGGGCGGGGCGGCGGGCGCGCGGGGCCCCGGCGGCGGAGTCGGGGCGCGGGGCGCGCGGCGGGGGCGTGGGAGCCGGGCCGGCGCGGCGGCGGCGGGGTCTGCAGGTCACGGCGCGGCGGAGGCGCGGCGACCCGGGGCGCAGCGCGGCCGGCCTCGCGCTCTCTCCTCCCACCCGCGGCCGGCGCTCCCCGCCCCCCCGCCCGCCGCCCGTCCTCCCTCCCTCCCGCCGCTCGCCCTCGCTCGCTCGCTCGCTCTCGAATGTTTTCCTTCCTGGAAGAGAGAAACTGAAAGGCAGAACTGAGAGAGCTCGCTGCTCATTGATCTGGAGAGTTTCGGGGCAGAAACTGACGCCGATTCCCAGCACTGAGCTCCGTCTCTTAAAGGAGCCACCAGGAAATAAAAGCTCGGGTTACAGCCCGGCATCGGGGAAATAAAAGCCGGTCGGAGAGGGGTGGGGGGAGTGGAGGGAGGTGGAGAGGGAGGGGCGCGGGCGGAGGAAACCCCCGGGAGCGGGGCCGCGCGGGGCCGGGCTGCGGGCGAGGCGGGCGGCGCTCCCAGCCCACCCACCGCCGCGCGCCCCTCTCCACCGGCCCCGGCGCCCGGGCTTCCCAGGCTGAGCCAAACCATCGCCTCGCTCCAGGAAGACGCGGTTCGGGGGGGCGGGGAGGAGAGAAAAAACGTTACACGGGGATGGGGTGGGGGCAGGGAACCCCAGGAAACCACCAAACAGGTTTATTAAACGCCTCCCACCGTCCCCGGCTCCGCGTCTGGGATACCTGGACCGGCCCCCGGCGCGCCCCCCGCCCCCGAACGCAGGCGCGGTGACAATGTCCGGGGAAGGGGCATGCCGCCGGCGCGGACGCGGGTCCGAGGGAGGAAGTAACACAATGGCCTTTGTTCGGCTGAGCGGCCGCGGCCGCTTTAAGAGAAGCCACCAGGAAATGGGAGCTCGGGTTTCAGCCTGCGCACCGGGAGCCGGGGGCGAGCGAACGAGCGCCCGAGCGCGCCGGCGGCGGCGGCGCCCCAGACAAAGCCCAATGCCCGCGGGCGGCGGCGGGGCGTTTGCGGGGGTCGTGGGGGCACCCTCGCCGCCTAGATGGGCGCCCCGAAACCTGGAGGCGCCGCGCGCTCCCGCCCGCGCGCCCCGGGACAACGGCCGCCGCCGGCGCTTCCCCCCGCGGAGCGCGCGTCCCGGGGAAGGGCAGGCTGGCGGCCGGGCAGGCAGTTGTTATCAAAAGGCAGTTGAGTTCCTCTTCCTGACCTCCCTTCCTCCCCGGTTTCGACATACTCTGTCCATTTAAAGCAATAGCGGCCGCTACCAACCGACAGAGGTGGTGACTCGACTGCCAGTGGACGGCGGGACGTGTTCCTGGAGAGGATAAGCCCTCCCCGGGGACCACGGCTCCGAACCCGCGCGCGGCCGGGAACGGACTCCGCGGTCCTGTCCCGGGGAGCCAGGAGGGATTGGGGGGGAAAGCAATGGGTGGGGGCTGGGGAGAGAAGTAGCCGGGGGGGGGGGGGGGGGGGACTGCGGGTGTTAGCCTAGAGCACAGGTGGTCTGCGTGTGATTTGTATTCGTGATGGGCTCCCGAAACGCTCTTGACTGCCCACTAAAGAAGACTGGGGACATTATCATGGTGTTTAAATTCTAAGCCCTGCGAATGCATACGTAGGGGCTTCGTGTGTGGATGTGAGTTATGTCACAACTATAAAGATACGGATGGATGGATGGATGGATGCATGCATGCATGCATGGTGTGTGTATGTAGAGAACAGATTTCCCTATGATCAAGGTTCTCCCCACCGTACCTGCTGTCCTTCACTTCTCCAAAAGTTCCCTTTTTTTTTTTTTTTTTTTTTTAACATGCTCATCAGAACACTCTGCTTCAGAATTTATTCAAGAGGTCGGGGTGGCAAACAGTCCTGTTCCTGGGAAGGTGGGAATAATGGGTGTTGATAAGCCCCCCCCCCCCCCAGGGACCTCAGCAGTTTATGTCCCCTGGTAGACTTGTGCACCCCAAGAGAGCTCAGGTCCTCACCAATTCCTGTTGGATCAACGGCTGCCTCCCCACCCCAACAATGAATGACCTGTGTCTATCAGCCTTTGACCCACGGACTGGTGTGGCAGATACTTGTTCTGATGCCTCATTGCTGGATTTAATCCTACAAAACCTCGGCTTCATTTTACTTTAAATGTGGTAGTTGCAACTGGCTCTCAGATTCTATCAACTAGAGATTGGGGATAGTACCCACCTCATAAGATTCTTGTATTCAATGAGCAAATAACATGCAAAGTGCTCAATTACCTGAGTGTTTGTGACATATCACATGTGCGCAATTAATGTTAGCTTTAATTTATTTAACCTCAGGACTGAAACAACTCTCAGCTTCCCTTTCTATCTCCTCATCTTCTCCAAGTGACTCACTCAAGTAGTAGTCTGAATTAGAATGTATGTAGTTCCAAAGCAAAATACATAGTACCAATTGTGGCAAACATTGCTTTGGACGAGGAATGGACAATTTCTTTTTGAGAAAGGGCTGACAATAAATACTTTAGGCTTTGTGCACAGAATAGATACATATATAAGTAGATATTAATAGATACTTATATAACAAGAGAGAAACAAATATCCATAATTTTTAATTGACAAAAAAATATAAGATGTAATAACAATTGCAATGCAGGTCTAATGATAAGAGGAATGGAACTCTTTTTTTTTTTTTTTTTTTTTTGAGGGAGGGGGGATAGTGTTTCACTAAGTTAACGCCCAATTAATTCAAAGTGTTTTCTATCATCAAAACTGAAATGTTTATCTGTTAATGCTGATTTATGTATTGCGTTTTTGGAAATATATTTCCACCCAGATTGGTACTGTCAAATATACCAATCTATAGGCATATGATTTTCTTAGGCAAATTTATGGCTTAGAAACTGACAATTAGAATTCTGTAAATTCTCTTCTATTTCCCCTTTAGGATACCATTACATTGAAGATTAATCACTTCCAATTGAAGAGTAGGTGGAAGCACCTCAGTTTCATGGATTTGAAATATGGAAATTTCCTCTTTACTGACATCAAAATCCATAAATGGCTGCTGGAACGGTAGTTTGAGTTGAGAAAAAAATAAATTACAAATTTGTGTCGGAATGGAAATCTTGTTTTAACTTTTGACAGCATGGCAAGTGTATAGAGCAGATTGATATTATTTGTGCTTCAAACAATGTTAATTGCATCAAAATGATTTAACTGCAGTATATGCTTCACACGTAGCTCAATTTTGCCTCATAGTTTTAGGATGAGTTCATGAAAACCATGATCAAGTCTATAGTAAAAGCTAATTTCCAAAGCCACTCAGTGTTCGGTAATAGTGGTCGAGGGAAGTTCTTTTCATTCATTCATTCCTATCATTTGTTTCTCTATGCCTTGTTTCTGGATTTCTTTGGAATAAAATGGGTGTCTTTTTAATATGTCATTTAAATTCCTAGATAGTCTTTCTAGCTCTTTTTTTCTATGTTAAATGTAATGGTTGATCTCAAAATTATAATTTGATTCTTTAATGATTACAGTCTATCTTCAAATAATATTATCTATTTTATGACTATACAAGAGGCCCGATTCACTGGTGGGGTCCCTCTGCCTAATTTGCAGGGTTCAGGCCAAAATTGGCTTTCCAACATACCCCCTCCCCCAGGGCTCCCGGATTGCGAGAGGGTGCAGGATCAGGGTCAGGGAGGGACTGCAAGAGGGCTTCAGGGCACGTCTGGCTCCTCTGGCCCAGTCCCGATTAGCCAAACCCCAGCAGCAAGCTAACATACTGGTCAGAGTGTCTGCCCTCTGGTGGCCAGTACGCAGACTGTGACTGGTCAAATGGTCAGACACTTAGCACATTAGGCTTTTATTATATAGGATAAAAAATTTACAACAGCACTCTTTAATTGACTGTTGAAACAGTAGTTTGAGTTGAGAAAAAAAATAAATTCCCATCTCCCAATTCTTTATATTATAAATATAAATGAAATTATATTTCATTTCTACATGTTGTACATTGTAGGTCTTTTTGACATTTAAAAATTGGGGATATGTCTTACCTAATAAAATAGTAATATGCAAATTGATCATCACTCCAACACACAAGATGGCTGCCCCCATGTGGTCCAAGTGGATGCCCGCATGTGGACACAAGATGGCCACCACAAGATGGCCAGCAGGGGAGGGCAGTTGGGAGGGACCAGGCCTGCAAGGGAGGGCAATTAGGAGTGATCAGGCCAGAAGAGGAGGTAAGTTGGGAGCAACTGAGCCTGCAGGGAAAGGCAGTTGGGAGGGGACCAGGCCTGCAGGGGAAGGCAGTCAGGGCAATCAGGATGGCAGGGGAGCAGTTAGGTATTAATCAGGCTGGCAGGGGAGCGGTTAGGGGGTGATCAGGATGGCAGGCAGTAGCAGTTAGGAGCAATCAAGAAAGCATGCAGGTGAGCAGTTGGGAGCCAGCAGTCCTGGATTGTGAGAGGGATGTCCAACTATTCATGCACAGGATCGGGCCTAAATGGGAAGTTGGACATCCCTCAAGGGGTCCCAGATTGGAGAGGGTGCAGGCTGGGCTGAGGGACACCTCCCCCTGCCTCCTATGCACGAATGTCGTGCACCGGGCCTCTATCTTTGGTCTGGGTCTGACTCCTGTGGATTCTAAACTTCACATAAGCCCCCACATTGCCATTAAAATTAGTTAAGAGTTAGGCTGATTTCTCCTTACCATTGCTACAATTACCATAATTTATTCCTGTTTTCCACACTTTAGTCAGGGGTGAGAACCACCATGGATCTTTTCTCTCAC